AAGGAGTTCAGAGCACAGTCAACAGAAGGAATCACCTGGAAGACTCAGGTTCTAAAGCCTCTTCTATGCTTGATCAACTATGTAATAAGACAATCCTATACATAAAAATACTATTTGGACAAAGGTCCCCAGGTCTAGACACATTACATTTCAGGTGAGTGTCCTGAATACAACGGTATCGTCTATTTTCATATTGCTCACTGCGGCCCTGTCCAATGCTTCCATGCTGGATTGATAAAGCCTTTCCTTACCCCCTTGGTGGTGAGTAGTTCCCACAGAATCACAGCACCGTTCTCCCACAAGGGAGCAAGTTAATGAACAAGTGTCTCCAACCCAGACTTCACTCAGGTTGCCCTCAGCACTGACAGCAAGGCAAGCAGCCGCTTACATCTGTTCTAACACATTACAACAGTTTGTAATTCATATGTTTTCACCTGTTCCTAGGGAAAGTGAAGCCATTGTCTAATTGTGAAATGTATGGCTTGCTTAAAAATCCACACTACTTACAGTATTAGTTGGAGATACTCTTTTTTTTGAACGCTCACTGAAATAATTCCTAAACTTCTTACTCTTCAGGACAGCAACCACTGCCTCCAAGACAAGCTAGCTAGTGCTCAGTTGTCCAGCTTTTTTTTTCCACTTGAGGACATCTCCTTGCTTTCCTCCTCTATCTAGCTTAATCTTTCATGATGAAAATGAAACCAGCTCCAGCAGTTAAGTCTTCCTTGCATGAAAGACAAAGGCAGAAGTCAAATGCTTTCTGGTTTCCAACCGTCCCAGTACTGACGGCAGACACCTTTTGGGCAATGCAAACACTGACAACCAATTGCTTTTGTAAACTGCCAGGTTCAGTTCATGCTGATACCAATGTAGAAAAAAAAAAATTATTTAATTTGTAAGTGAAGCTTGATGTCTGTGTACACTGAAAATAAAGATAATTGTTAATGACTAAAGAGAGTGTACAAGGCAAAAATCGCATTTTGTTCAAAGAACACAAGTACCATATACCGCTCAATGTACACCACTACCCAAAATACCTTACTGAAGCATATTTCAAAGCCTGTTACTGATAATCCAGGAATATCAGTACCAGAGCACTCCATATTCAGGAAGGAAAAAAAGAAGGGAAAAAATGAGTGTTTTGGTTTCTGCTTGGTACCATAGGATAGACACTTTGGCATTTGGTAAAATTGTAATGTGTGTTTTTCACTAAACAAATTAACATATATTTCATTTGTATTACTAAGGCTCGAGGTTATGTCATGGACACTAACTCTACAGCTGTCATTCAGTTTTGAAATACACCAAATACACCAGTGAACCTAAGGAGAAACAAAACCCAAAAGAATCCAGGACTATTTGTAGCTTATTTTCTTAAGCATGGATTGAGATTTTTTTATTTTAACTGAAAAATCCTCCGCATGGGTTCCAAACTTGTGGCATTTGTTAGGAAATAGATGTAGAAACCGAGAAATGCTAAAGGAAGCTCTTCTAACCATGAGTCACCAATTTACATGCTGTACTTTGTACAACAAGCAATGCACTTGAAGAAAGCATGTTAGAAACTATTAAATATAGATGGTAATGATGTGAAAATCATGTGGTCATATCTGACTTCAACAAGGATCAGTTAAAAAAAAATCTTCTAGAGAAAAAGGGATGGGTGTTGCTTAATCAGATAAATTTGGTAGAGCAATGTTTTTTCTGAACACCCCTGTTTGGCACAAAGTACGAGAAATAGCAAGGACTGACTTTCAGCCCATAAAATCAGAAGAGAGCAGTGGATTTTGGGAGCACTTTCATTGTGTCAGACTGAAAGAGTTCACATTACGTTTCATGATTACTTCCCATGCCTTTTTATAAAATAAGGGTGATAGAAGTGGCAGCAGCAGATATGAAATACTGTTTCTAAGTACGTGAACTAGGGAAGAACAGTTTGTGTAACCTAAATCTTCCAGTCTACCGCTGAAACATGCATGACCCCACGGTGATCATTCTTCTCTAAGGGCAAATTAGCCTCAAGAATGCAGCTGCTGTTGAGTTGCATAGATTTTCTGTACATACCACCTTTTAACAATGTCCAAAGGAAGGAATACTTATTTTGGTCAAGACGCTAAAACACAGCTTATCTTAGCCAAGATCCTAAACCCTCTTACCTCGGTCAGAAGGCTCTCAGCTCCCCTTTACTCATGACAGGACTTAAGCTAAGGTTACATTTATATATTTTACAAGTATTTTTTCCGAGTGGAGGTTGTTGCTGAATTTTGTATGTTCGACTTTATCAACAGGGCTATATGGGCATCATCTTGCAGTATAGAGTAGTTATAGGCTGTTGGGGAAATGATTTATCAGTAGCTAGGTTCACGTAAAATTCAAAAGGTTTCGGGGTTTTTTTTCCCCTGTTTTGTTTTTGGAGAACAGTCCGAGAAATCCAAGTCATGTCTTTCTTACAGGAATACTTCAGATAGCTAGCTAAACAGAAGCAAGAGTTGGCATTTAGCCTGGGATTAGTGTGAACAGCCTCTTAACCAAACATTATGAAGAAAGTTAACTTTAAAATGCTTTGAGAGGTCTGTTTTCATGACAGATGGTAATAAGGGCTCATCAGTGCCAATTTTTTGGTTTCCACCTCAGTTTTGAAAAGCTTCAGTTTTAGGTTAGTGCTTCTGAGAAACCATTTAATGCATAGAGGAAAAATGCAAATTACAAAATTAGATTACTCACTATTTTTATTGTATGCAACATATTTTTTCTAAATAACACTAAGAGATGAAGAGTAAAAATTTGACCATGCGCTTAATAGACCACTTTCCCTTTCTGTTTATTAGAATCCCTCTTTTCTTTTTTTTTTTTTCTTCCCCCAGCTATTTCTCCTTTAATCTTTATCTGTACACCTGGACAGTTATTCCTCTGCCCACAGACCCCAAAAGATACAGCAGTCGGTAGCAGGTAGAGGTTCTGTTTGCATAATACACTCACTAGGGAAGACGTGGTAGAACTATATTTTATTCAAGAAAACCCACACATTCTGTCCTGTGGTGACCACAGGCTTTGCTTAGCCATAGATATCAGCAAATACCGGAACAAAATACAGTGTATCAGATTGAATCAAAGCATTTAAGTTCTGAATTACAGCTATAACTTTCAGGGAAGGCTAGTTTCAGAATTGCATCATAGTATCTAGTACAATGTTGTGCAATGTAAGTGGCAGAAACAGAAATGGAATATTGGTCCTAATAAAAACTGAAATGTAATGACTTTTGTATGACATTTAAACTGTCAAGACTATTCATAACATTCTACCAAAGGCAGCATATAGTTACAAAAATACTGGTCCAGCATCTTGTTAGTGGTGAAGCAATATCCAAGGTGCAATGGCAACATGCCATTCTTAGTGAAATATTTTTTAAAAAACTATTTTTTCTATTTTCCCCACGCTGATGCTAGCTGAACACCAAAACTGCTATGACAACCTGAAAGAAAGTCACTACTTATCATGTGTATTGCACCAAAGATTTATGCAAAAACACATTTTCCAAGTTGCAGTACAAAAGAAGCAAAATCTAATAAAACTATGAATATGCCAAAAGACATTTTACTGCAACTGATCTTGGATGAGCAGGTTGCAACATATATTGAGCTTTAAACAATTGTCCAAGCTTGTCCATTCTAGCCATTATCTTGAACTTAAGGATACAAAGGTAAAAGACAAAGTCCTTAATATTGAGAACAGAATTAAATCACTTTATATTCCTCTCCACCCACAAAACAGAAATATTCTGCCCTCCTCTCCTCCCAATACCCAGATAATTTCAAAGTCAAGCCTTGGAATTACCCGTGTTCTGATATTGCACTGTGCTAGGATTGTATTGTTTTCACCTAGAAGGTAATATAGTATGAGGGTGACCGAAACTGCTGGAGACAGTAGATCTGCTTAACTTGTGGAGGTATCCCAAGAAGTGCGCATCAGATGGTGACACAGTTTAAAAGGACTTGGGCCAAAAATACATTAGCCTGCTTGCCATTTCTTTCAAGAAAACGGCATCAATTAATATCTCAACCAAAAGCTGAAGTTGAGTAAGCTCAGGTCACCATGTCACATTCAATGTTACATCCAACAACACAGAAATGAAGGAGTAGCAGACAGGAATATTCATTATATTTTCCTTTTAATAATGGTTTAGTCAAAAGTGTAGCTCTGAAAATCTCTAGCTAGTTGTGAAGACCTGAAGAAGCTGGGAAGCAACCTCACTTTGAAGAGTACAGTTTAAAGCTGTGGCTTGGCCTATCTGCTTTCAAACTCTCCAGTAGCACTGCCAACCTTGTAAATAAAAGGTACTCCCTGGAAATAAAAAGAAGTCAGCCTTTAAAAGTTGGTGAATGTTGTATTGTGGCAGCCTAACTCTGACTGAAGAAGAAAGATGAGATATTTTTATACAGTAAACAAAAGACAAAGTAAACCGAAATCTTCAGAGATCACTTTAAGTGTATATAATTTGGATTCTCATCAACATTTAAAACTACCAATCATAAGGTTGCCACCTTACCTTTTTCTGGACTGGCATACCTGATTTTAAACAGGTTTTCCTCCAGTCTCCCAAGTTTCTGATCCTCTTATCCAGTTTTCTGCTGTACTGCTCTTCCACCTTCATGCTGAATACCGAGTCAGTCCTGCCTTCTGCTTTTCTTGGCAGGAGGCAGAGCAAGCTTTTAATTTCGGTAGTCAGAGTGACAGAACAACAAAAGCACAGCAGATAGAAGAGCTTAATTCTTCCCCAGGAAGAAAATACATTTGGTTCAACAAAGGGCTGCAAAATCTTCCAAAGGCACCTTTTTCCCCAGTTTTTGCCTGAAAGCAAGATGGCAATCTTAATTGAAAAGGGATGCTAAATCTTTTAAATAACTTAAAAATTCATTTTTATATAAAGCAGCAAAACCATTTTTCTCTGCAGAAAGAGAAATGTTAACAAAGAAACACACCAACATAAATGCACTGTTCATAAACTTCAGCTAATTTAATTTCATAAGTAAGTAAAATTATAGGACTATTCTTTAACCTCATCAGTACTTTCTGAAGAAGATTCTTTGGCATCTTCAGTCTCTCTGTTGCTTTTCTCTTTATTTAGATTTTCACTTTCTGATTTGGTCCCATTAAATAGAGAGTTTTCACCATTTACAAACCCATTCTCTGTGACTTCAGCATCAATAGCTTCATCAATCTTTAAGTCCCCTTGCTCTTCCACATCTTCTAGGTTTCTCAAGACAATAGGGAGTCTAGAGTCTGCCACAGTGTTCTCCAACAAGGCAATGTTGCTCTCTTCATATCTAGGAAGCGGAGCTCCATCTGCCATTTGTTTGGTATAGTACTCGCGGCTAGCAGCTGCGCTCTTTACTGCTTTCTCCAAGATCTCTTTTTCACCTAAGCGCAATTTGATAGCCATTATCGCGTGTGAAGTAAGGTCGTGGGTCTCCAAGAAGGACTTATCATCCTGTTAGAAAAGAAAAAACAAGTTTGTTAGTAATAACCAACACAATAAAAAAGATCCCTCAGCTTTTTTCTATGCATTAATAATAAGTGACACGAGATTCTTCAGGCTGAACCAAATGGACATAGGATGAAGAAAGGGGTCTGCATGGAGTCCCAGTGAAATTTGTCAAGAATTTGTAAAAAATTTTGCTATACAAAAATTTCTCCACATAGATCAGCCTGCATAACAAGCAACGTCAGCAGACTTCACAAATATATGAAACATGTAGGTTCACTTATATGCTCACAATAGTAGCACATTTCTCTGCAGTCTGGAGAATGCAACTAATAGACAACAAGTTGAAACTGATTCCCCATTTTACTTGCAGAGAAAAAGCAGGTAGCCTCTATTCAGAGAATCAAAGAAAAAAAAAATGCATTAACAAAATTACATTAACAAAATTTTCTTTTTTGCAATCTTATTTGATTTTCCTTAGATAATGCAAATCTGTTTCTACACTTTAAAAAGTACAGAATGAATTATGTACTAACATTCAGATTAAAGTTTCCAAAGACAAGATGGGGGACAAAATATCTTTTCCTACAATCATAACACAAAACATTTCAGACATTTAAATTATATATAATGATAATTGTACCTCCACAGTTGTTTTATAGGTTTTCAAAAGAAGGGATGCTCTGGCTTCTAGGAATGTCCAAAGTTTAACTTCATTGTCCCAGCTAATGGGAAACTCAGAGTTCCCCAGAGTGAAGATTTTGTCAATGGCATGCTCGCCTATCAAGTGTTCCTTCAGCTCTTCTGCAATAAGTATAAAACCAATCTGTTAAAAACAATCTCATCGTTCACTTTGTCAGTTGACAAACTGCAGAAAGAGTTATTTCCAATAGTATAGCTTTGAGCAGCTAACAAAAAAAAATCTCTCCTCAAATAAGAATTATCAGATATGCTGGTTATTTCTAGGCATCTCTTCAAAGAGGTAACTGGAAGTCTTGAGCTTAGCAGAAAATGGACCTTCTGCTCCATGCTGAAACAAAAATACTTAATATATCAGAGCCTCTTATACACAGGATAACTCTGTGACAGCAAGATGGAATAGTTTGTATAATACTTGATAAACAAAAGGGAGCAATTCTTTGAAGAGTTCAGCAAACTTTTTGATAATGAAAGGAACAGGCCAGAGTGTGCAAATAGTGATGGAATTATTTTTCCTATTGTTTTGGCAATCTTTTTCAGTAGCAGAAACTCCCTATAGTTGGTCAGAAAAGACATCCATCAAACAAACCTCACACAGAGTAGAAAATCTTCAATCAGCTCCTTGACATTACAAAAATCCCATTAATCTTTTAATTACCAATTTTCACTCCTGCAAAGCAGCTATCACAAGCTTCAAAAACCACATGCATGTAGTTTCTCAATAAACAGTTTTCTTTTACAATATTTAAGACATAGGAATAATCTGAACACAATCACGTATCAGAGTAATGCAATTAAAATATTTACTAGCTATATTTTCTTCTCCAAGCCAAAATTCACCCCCTCATCGGCATCTTAAAATTTTCTTTACTTGAATTTACTTCCCTGAAGTGGTCAGGCAGTTGGACTAGATGATTGTTGTAGGTCTCTTCCAATTGAACTATTCTATTCTAATTTCTTAATAAGTTGTAAAAGATGGATGATAGGATGCAATGAAGGCATGACACTAAATAAGGTAGGTTCTTTTTATTAAAGAAAGCAAATAGAGCACACACAAAAATGTAACAGCTTCAGTATTCCTACTGGTATTAAAATCTGCATTATCCACACAGCATCTCTAACTGCAAGGGAATTCTCTCACCATCACAAAAAACTGGCACATCTATAACCTCCAAAACTGCATCTAACCAGCAAGCAGCTATTACAAACATTTAATCAGAAGTTTCATATGTACAAATTAGGTGAATATTTATTAATTGTACATATATTTCCCCCATAAAGCCCTCTAACATAAGAGAGAAACTACAAAGACAGTCTGCAAATACATAAATTGGTTTTAGATTATGAATTACCAAAACATTGAAAATACTCTACTTTGAAATATCTCTTCCATATTTCTCCCACAGTACAGAATATTCCAATTTCATACCTAAATGACTCTAGCAGTGATGGCTAATAGGCTATGATTTTAAGCATGTAAACTCCTAGGTCTCATGTGATCATTTTTAAACCTAAGAACTAAAGATCAAGCCCCAAAGCCCATTCATTCACTACAGCCTGGGAGGTTAAAAAAAAAAAAAAATTAAAATTGCATCACCTCATGTTTAGGAGTTCCAGAAAGGCCTATGTTACCAAAATATTCCCTCAGACAACATGGCCAAAGATTGGGTTTCTCATGAGTTTATAGATCGCTTTTTAACCTCAGCTCCTCCAATATTCTAGCTTAATGTTTTATATAAATGCCTATCACATTCCTGCATTAAAAAACAAACAAACCCCCAACCCCAAACCAAACGTAAATTAGGTTATCTTTAGAAAACATCTTACCTTCACTCATACAGAACACTCGAAGGAAAGCCAAAAGCTGGGCAGAGATTGGAGGCTCAGTGGAGTGCAAGGCAAAAACACTAGAACTAATAAAAGAAACAAACAGCAACACTAAATGCAAGTTCTATTGTCATACCTTTGAACTTATTTCAACATAAAAGACCTTAAAGTATACAACAAATGCCCTGTTACAAGAGTAACTTTAAAAAAATTAGATAATACTTGTTCAAACTGAAGAAAAGCTTCCCTAACCTGTATCTGAAAAGAACAATTACCTCTACAGTTTTACACTTACAATTATTTTTATACGGCTTTCATAATAAATTCAGGAAAATGCAATGTTTCACGTCTGCCACTCCTAACAGTACCCTCTGGACTGAAAAGACTAAAGGAAAATGCTGTGGTTCACATACTGAGCATCGTAGTATGTCTGCAAGGGATAGGAAAGAAAAAAAACCACAGATTGCTTCAAATTAATCCTTGCTCTGTTTTTGTTCAAATGGTTATTAAAGCAAATGCTTTTTTCCTTATATATGGTCCAAATTAGATGATAATATAGCTCAGAGAACTTCTGTAAATATTATTACAACAACTTTAATTTGCTATACAAACAGGAGAAATACTATACCTATGAAAACTATCATAGAACAGTTTTAGATATGCTCTACTGGACACTATATACTTTGGAAAGGTTTTAAAAAACCCATGGCATTGTGTTTTACTTACGTTGGGATACCAGCACGAGCTAAGACCTCTGCCTTCATAGCATACAGCCTGTCACTTTTACTCACGCCAAGCTTTATTTTCACTCTGTCATGTGAATTATTATCAAAGAAAAAACCACTGTGGATCACAAATTCAGCGTTTGACCGAGTGCCATAAAAAATGTAAATCTAGAAGGATGAAAAGAGAAGTGAAGGGACAGGAAAAAAGCTTAAGATCAGCTCACAAAACTGACATAATTTGAAAGTTATTTCCTGAAAGAGTTACTATTCTGAGTACAAGGTATATTTGGTTACATAAAGAAACACGCTTTGTTTTCTGGTATCGATTCAAATGCTGTATATAGTGTGGCAATATACTTTAGAAGTAGATGTAAACATATTCATGTAAGAGAGATTTGAAAGGAGAGAAGAGGTCCTTATTCTATACTTTAAAATAAAAATGCTGTTTTCTCACACTGTCATAAAATATCAGTATATGGAAATAAGCTTTCAAAGATCCTATATCTTTTAACAGCTAAAATATCTGAGACAAGGAGGGCCCATTAAAAGAAAAGGAGTTTCTGGGGTCATTTTCCACCCCCATATGTCCACCCAAAAGACTGACCTACACTGCTGATGGATCAACTTTGCTTTTGTTTTAATGTTACCTTAAGCACGGATATACCAAAGTGTGTCATACGAGAGATCTGATCTGTGTTTAGCCACTATTTATTTTTGTGTTATACTCTCAACTCTATATCTAAAGCAAATAGGTTACTTTAATTCACATTAAAAAAGAAGTTCCTAAATATAACCTGCAAAAAGTGTTTAATTCAGGGCTAGGCTGTATAAAGCACATGGGACAAGACGTCAGAGTAGAAACCGTCTTCTCCCACATCAAGAGGATATTTTCCCCTTTTATTTGATAACAGAATTGTCAATCAGAAAAAAAAGTTTCAACAGAACTCCCATCTTATCCTTAGGGCACAGCACTGCTCTGGGTACCTGTAAGCTTCCACTCCTCTCTAGCTAACAGAGGAAGGCACAGTGTTCTCTTAAGGGCTCAACAACACTAACGATGCCATTTAGTTTCTTTGGTTTCAATTTTAGATTAGAACTATTTATCCTAAGCACTAAATGCTTAAGCATTATATCAAATTATAGTAAACATTATAGTGCAACACGCTTGTATAATGAACAAGTGACCTGCCTAGGTATGTTGCAGTAGTGGTTAAGGAGAGAGTTGCTAACTCTCTCAAGCTTTAAAACTACTGTGACACATCTCATATTAAACTAAAATCACATATCATGTGTAGATTATACAGTATGCTTTTAACACTCTAAGACTGTTTTACAAAAAAAACCAATTAAACAGAGTAAGAAACTTGCTTTATTCAAGGACAGTGTTTGATAGATTCTGTGGACTTCTGCTGCCTCACATTTTTTAGTAGTAAAAGCAAGGATCATACACTCTTCCT